GTCATATGATGGCTTTGAAAACCAGTTCAGGCAAAACTGGTGCGAAGGACTTTGTAGACCCGGCTTTGTTGTTTATTCTCATTTAGCTGAAGTGGATTTGAAGTGAATAATCTTTCGTGCACAGGAGCCTTCACACAGAGATTGCAACATCATAACTACTACATTTCAAAGGGCTTTGACTGAAAGCCTGGCAACCAGTGCACGTAGACAGACTTTCTCTGGGAGCTCCAGAAATGGGCTGGGGAGGAGGGTGGTTGGAAGCAGCTTTGGGAATGAAGCACGTTTAAGTACGTGCAACTAGGGATTCTGGCTGTGGTTCTACTTGTGGCTTGGCAATGTCATTCCAGGCATTATGTCTCAGTGTTACTGCCTAAGTAATTTAAAAGCTAACTTCCCATTGTGAGACTGTGTATCTCCCTGCCTTTGGGTTGTACGGTCTATAGGGAAAATCAAACTCCATCTTATATTTAATATTGAAATAGAACATTGACACCTGATCCAAGGGACAGCAGGAAACTTGTATAGCTTTGTTTCAGAAATAACAATAATACAGCCTTACTTATGGCAGATGGCTGTCTTTGCAGGTTTCACTCATGAAACTAATCTGTGAACTGCTGAAATGTTCTTTCTGAACTAACTGCTGATGTGACCAGTTACTGAGTGAGAAGCAGGTCACCTACACAGCCACTTTCTAGCCAGAAGCAACGGAATGATGGGTTGAATACTGCCATCCTCTGGCTGGCTGCACAGAAAGCTTGTGAACTTAAATTGCTCTAAGGTAATATTAAAATATATATATATATATATATAAACACATGGTGGTGTTCTGTTTTGTTTTGAACATGTTTAACTTCCTTGTCAGGACTTTCTAAATAGCCTGTGTGATGATGGGTGTGATCTACAACAAGGTAGATCTTGCCAGTGACACCCATCTATTTATTTATTATTCACTGGTTTTATTTTGGCAGAGAAAAATAACAACAGAAAAACACCAACCACCACCTTCCCTATGGATTAGACTGTGCTGTGGAAAGCTGAAATCATCTGTGGATTAATTTTATCAGCCAGAACAAGTATATAAAAACTACTGAAAAGGAGTAATGGAAATGGGAAGACTGGATTAAAAAAAAACAACTGTGTTCAGGAAGAACCTTAAGCTGAAGTTTGTCCTGTGCAGATGAGCAAGAAAGGCAAACCCCTAGAGGAACCATCACCCTTCCATGTCCAAGCAGTATTAATGTATGGCAAGTTTAAACCCGTTCATTCATGTTCCCAATGTTTCCTTTAAATAGCTGATTAAACACTTTCTCCCCACCAAGGAAATGCAACACCGTAAGTAGGTGAGTTCCTGGCAACTAGAGAGATGTCTTTTTGCTCTTTTATTGATTTGGAAATACTTTATTGGGTCAGCAGCAGAGCATTCTTGCCAAAGGTGGAATAAGGGGCATCTTCTTATACTGTTTTGTTGGACACGCCATGAAGCAAGGTTTCCATTTGGGGTTTTTGCTTAGGGGTTTTTTGTTTGTTATGGTTTTCTGTTGTTTTAATTACAAGAAGCAGAGCAGACATCCTGTTTTGGAGCAAATCACTGCTCTTTCCTTCTTCCTAGTTGTTATCTCCTCTCTCCACAGCTCCTGGTCACTCCCTGTATCCCCTTTCCCCCTGCTCTCCCCTCCCCTTGCCTTTTGCCTTTTTCTCTAGTCGCACATCAGCAAAGCCTGAGCTAATTGACCCAAATCTCCTTAACGATGCTGACTCAGTTTCTCGCCTTCCCCACGCACACAGCGCGGGCCTTGGGAAGCAGAACTCGCTCTGGGAAGCAGTTACTTCTGGCCAGCAGCGCGGGAAGCAGATGGCAACCGGCGGATCGATCGCGGTGAGGCGGGATGAGCGTGACAGAGCAGGGGCAGCGCCCCGAGCCCGCCCAGCTCCGAGGGCCGGGCGGGTTTTGCAGCGCCCGCAACGCGCCGGCCCGGCAGCACCGCCCCCGCGCTGGCCCCGCC